AGAGTGATTCATCTTCTAACCTTACTCTTGGTTGGAATCATTCGGTAAGTTAGTCGTTTTTGTGAATGTTTGCAAGGATCCTAGAAGGACCTCTAACTTTGTAAACACGAGCAACCTTGGCGCTTATCAGTGTAGTACACAGGGTGTTGCTTTTTGGCCTCCTCATTTACTAGTGTCGAGATGACAGCGCTCCATGAAAGGGCTAAGTAGAGGTATACTTCGTCCCTATGTTTGGCTTGGCCAGGAGTGTGGCGGACGCAAGATATTGCTTCAGGTCCTGGAAGGCCCTTTCGCATTCATCGGTCCATTTGAACTTTCCTTCCTTTCCCAGCGTATTGGAGAAGGACAACCACTTGCCGGTCGATCAGGACACGACCCGAATTAGCGTTGCGATCTTTCTATTCAGGCTCTGGAGCTGTTTTAAATTGGTCGGGTGGACATATTCAAGATGGCCTGGATCTTTTATGAATTGGCTTCATTCCCCCGTTGATGCACTATGAAGCCGAACAACTTTTCCGACCTCACACCGAAGGCACACTTTGCTGGGTTTAGCCTCAGGCCATGATGATGCATGACTCGTAAAGCCTCGGAGAGGTCATCCTTGTGTTGCTCGGCTGTCCGGCTCTTGACCAGTATGTCATCGACGTACACCTCCATGTTCCTTCAGATTTGCAGGGCAAACATCTTGGTCACCATCCTTTGGTAGGTTGCTCCGACGTTTTTTCACCCGAAGGGCATGACCTTGTAGCAGAACAGCCCTTGCTCGATGATGAAGGAGGTGTGCTCCTGGTTGGTCGGATGCATCTTCATCTATTTGTATGCCAAATAGGCATCCATAAATATCAATAACTATTATGGGTAGCATCCAAACAGGACACACGTCCGTCCCTCCTCAAGCGCGGGTCCACGGAGAACCACGTTTTTAGAGGAGATGTCGTCAAGCAGAAAGTGTATCTGCTAAAAGGGAGACAAAGAACAGTAAACGGTTACCCCGCACACACAGCCATAATTGGCAGCGCATGCTGTCGATACGATAGGCGCATCTTGCGGCCTTGGACGACACGTCTAGAAGGCATAGATGGCGGAATTACCCTGCTACTGTCGAGAACGCACCTCCTTCTGTCCAACCGTACAGTGTGCAACATCCCTGCCACTTCCAACCGTCGTTCTTCCTAGTCGACCCGTCGATGCTATAAAATGAAGGACGATCATCCTCACCAAGTAAGTGAAAAACTTGTCACTTATATCTTTGGTGTCTTATTCATATTTCCATTCAGATTATTAACTTGATCGTCAGAGTGTATTAGGCGGGACACCGCATCGGTGTTGAGTTCTTTAGTTTCAGGTCCAGTGGATCCAAGACCGGACTGGTCGTCTAGGCACCACATGTGCTTCTATCAAAATTCACCGTCGACAGTTACAAATGGCTTAATCCAAATCATTCATGTGGAGACATGCAAGTGGGGGTATCCTATGTAATGAGTTTGTATAAGACCGAGCTGCGAAATAATCGATTAGTTGTAACAAACTAATAGATTATAATTTCATAGGAAGACTAGGCAACTTAATCTCGATCCTAAGTGAGTTATGCACTCCTGCCTATAAGGGACCGTCCTTTGATTTATATAGGTGAGAGTCGCCCAGGTCGCGACTCAATATTCCTTTCATTTTGGGGGCGAGATCGAGCTTGGTGCTGGAAACATAACTACACATGATGAAATTCACTCCTTCCCGGCTTTAGGGTAAATAGGTGAGTGTTCTCTTAAGTGCTGACTCAAAGACTTGAACAAGGAGCTCCGCCCTCACATTGGCCCAAGATGGATTCCTGTTTAATGGTTGGACCATAAACAGGTTGTTCATTCGAGGATCAGAAGTTGTTTAGGTGAAAGAGGTAACTCAGGGGTCAAACGATAATTTGACGTAGTTGTAGGTTGATAAGACTTGGTTTAAGGCTAAAAAGGGTAGGTTTGCATGCTTAGGTAACTTATATTTGGGATGAAAATGTATGTTCATGCATATAATTTAGGAAAAATGTGCATAATTTGTGATTGGGGACTTTGGAATTCAGTTATAGGTAAATGAAGGCTAATTTGTCTAAATATGCTTATTTTGTAAGGAAAAATGAAGATTTATGATCACAATGCGTCAGGCACATTGCAAGGCCATAATTTTTCCAGCTTCACAATGCTTCAGCCACATTCGATGCCTAGATTGTCAAAACGAAAATAACCACTTTTGACCAAGTAATTGGTCCAAGATTTGGTTTTACTCCTAATATCTTTACAACAAGTGGTTGTCAACTTCCCTTGAATTTCTCAAATCTTTGTTACTTCCATAGCCTATAAAAGGAGCCTCCAAGCATCACTTCTACACACCTCATTTCCATGCCTTTGCTTTTCCCTTTCTAAATTCTTGTCAACTTTAGCTTTTAAGTTTTAATTTCAGCTTTAAGTTTTGTTCTTCCTTTATTGTTTTTACAATTTTTTGCTTATTTTATTGCAACTCTAGTTATTCTAATTTATGTTCTTCTTTCCCGATTCAATGAAAATGAATTCTTTTGTTATCTTCTTTTGCTATTGCATTTATTTTAATTCCATGAGTAGCTAAATTAATTTTTCCAACCCTCTTACGAATGACTTAGTTTCCATCATTTTAATTACATCTATCAGATAGCACGGCGTTTACGCTCAAATTGCTTATCTTGATTGAGTTAATTAATCTAGTTGATTTTATTTGCTGGCCACTTGTTTAAATCACAACAGTTGAGTTTAATTCTGAAAAGGTTAGAGTCAACGGAGTTCATCAAGATAAAATGGGAAGTTACTTAGACATAAGAACTTAAACAAGATCCTAGACATAGGCTCTCTTACCCATTAAACGTAAGTTGGAGTTTTAATTACTTAGGATTCTTCAAGTATTTTA